TATTCGCTCCGACGAAGGGCTAACGCTCGAAACGTCAGCTTTTGTAATCGTTACGGTGACCAATTTACCATTTCAACTTTGTTGATATATCCAAATTACTAAGAACGGTTAGTTACCGCCTCCTGGTTAGCTCAATTGGTAAAGTTCCGGACTGTGGTGCGGGAGGTCGAGGGTTCAAGCCCCGGCCGGACCAACACTCAGGGTCTTAGAATAACTGAGGAGAATGTGCTACCTTTCTATAATCTCAAGAAATGGATAGATATTTTAGTCATCTCGGATAAGAAAGTTAATTTCCCACGCACGAGATTACTGTGTGGTGGATGTCCTCCCTTGGGATGGGATGGGGTTGGGTTTCCACGGTGTAGAAAACTAGTAGGGAAGTTAGAGTCCTATTGTTTCTACACCTATCTTATGGTAAATCTCTAAATAAAATGAATGAATAAAAATAAATAAAATAAATAGAGAGTACTAATAGCTTAAGACTGAGTAAATATGTATATACGTTATCAATGAAAACTAACAAAATGAAAAGAGGTTAATGAAAGTAGCTCAACTAAGCACAATGAAAGCTGTTCTTAGGTAGGCGTTTTTCAGGATCTCTAAGGCCGAATCCTCTCGTCAGTTGTCGCCGTAAACTCAAACCAGTAACCACTAACTGACAGGTAATAGCAATGGTCCTGAGGGTTGCCCGCTTACAATTCAGGATGTAGAACTGTACAGAATAATGAGCAGTTTTTTGATAACTTTGACTTTATAGGAAGAAATTTGGTTGGATCACATTTATCGTGAATCTTTCTTTGTACCTGGCCTTTCTTTTGCCATTTACTGGACTCGCCGTTTATCTCAAGGCCAACAGTATTGCACTGTGTGGTTATAAGTTTGAAAACTTGACAAAAGATCGCCAAGGCTACTATTTACACGTTTGGGTAAGTAACTTGCTCTTCAGATGCTGATCTGACAAAAAAGAGCAAAATACCAGAATTCTTTACCTTGCCACCTTTCCGCCAACCAATGTTCAATACCGGCTTGATACCCAGTTTCTTTTTATGTAAACACTCAAATAAAATTTTCTTTCGTCGTAACGACCTTTAATTCAGTTGAGTGTTTGAGATTGACCAGAGGTAAGGTTTTATTTAACAATTTTTTCATGTAGAAAGTGCAGTATTGTTACCAACTGTTACCTATACCTAAGAAATTAATCGCACTTTCTATCTATCAATCGGTTTACCTACTAAGAAACCACTTGAGATGTTGGAAGAACACGAGACATAATTGTAAACCACAAAGTGCAGCCGTACGTGTGTAGCGCAGTTTAACAGAGCGGGAGGACGTTTCAGTTTTCTATGGGTATACTGGCACATTTATAGTAGATTTTTGACCAATCAGAGCGCGTGTTGTGTTTAAGTTATGTCCTAAATCTATTCAATTCAAACGTATGCAAGCTCATCTTTTCCAGCAGGAGTTCGCCAGACATTCATTTTTTTATCACCAACTCAAAAACGATCTACAAGTATAATTTATAACTGAGTTATGAATTAATGTAATATTCGTTTCCTCTTTTCACCAGGACTGGCACGATGACGACAGCATAACATGCAATGGCTCTCAAAAGGTAACAAGGGGTGGACTTAAGTTTCATAAGGTACCTCGATAAAAAAAAGTATCCCACGATAAGATATTGCAAGGATCTCAATTTAAATTCTGTCATCAAAGCATAAATTTGTAGTGAAACGAAATTATATGTGTTGCTATGGTTTCTTGTTGATTGGACCATTCTATAATCATGGCCCCTGTGTTCCTGGCCAGAGCCTTATTCTGCTAATTATGTTAGCAAGAAAAATCCATTAAATGACTCCCGGCAAAGAGGGTTTCAAACCAAGGTTATGAGAACTTAAAATCAACCTACTGATAGAGAAATGTACAGTAAGACCCAGAAAGCAGCACAAGTGTATTGAGGTATCGATTTTTCGTCAACCTCCGCGAGATAATACTTTTCCTTTAAGCTATTTTTGCGATATTCCAATGTTCAGACTCCCCCTTTGAAAACTCAAGTGACAAGAGATTTGTAAAACTGGAGGCCTCTATATCTACCTACTGGATCCCACTCATTTTTATATTTATTTTCATAACTTTAAGACTGTTGTGCTTCTCCATTACGTTGTGATCGTGTTCGCCCTGATTCATCTCAAGAAGGAAATTGTGCAAATCTTCAGACAGGTTAGTATGGCATCCAATCTAATATAAGACTATTGAGTGATGCTGAGTGGTCAGTTATGATTCTTCAGAAGAGCAACTTTTCGACTACGTAGCCAAACCTATTTCATACTAATTTTGACAGTCTGCTTCAACTGCTTCCCGTCAATAAAGATACACAGAAATAGTTGATATGTGTTTTCCTTTACCTTCATTTTCTTTTAGGATTTTGTATCTTTCTATCAACTTTGGATTACATTTTACAACTGTTTTCTAAAAAGCCCAAAATGGAGGTCGATAAACTTATCTACCTGTTCACTAATCTGCATGTTTACTGATCCAATTATTTGTTTTTGTTACAGCGCCTAAAGTATTGGACTACCATCACAAACTACATCGAGTGGGTGATTTACGTGTCTGCTCTGGTGTTCGTGTTTCCGATCTGTGCCTGCAAAGCGCATTTTAAATCTGAGGCAGCAGCATTCTCCTTGTTTTTTGCTTGGCTCAATCTTGTTCTTTACCTCAGAAGGTAAGGCCCAAAGCTATTACCAAAGGCAAAATTGCAAAAATAATACAATAATTCTTTACCTCAGAAGGTAAGGCCCAAAGCTATTACCAAAGACAAAATTGCAAAAATAATACAATAATACTGTAAGAGCTTTCCTGGTTTTCAGGACCAGTGCCTAATGTTTATCGACAAAATGCATAATATCCGAATTTCTGAAATGGAATTACAAAACAGTTTTAATTTAGTTATCTTAGAGGTAGTATGCAGAAGAAGTAAGCGCTATTTTTGATGGGTTTCTTTAAAAGTTTTAAAACCTAACCGCCATGTCTACATACTTGAGGTGGCCAAGTGGTCTAATGCGCCGCCTTCAGGTCGCCCTCTACATTTTAATCAGACAGCTGAATACTGTAAAACTCAGTCAGATGTTTTATAATCTTCTCTTTGTACGTAACGGAGGAATCGATGAGATGAAATGAAAATGTGTGTCGATTCTAAGTCCCCTGCAAAGAAACTACTTCCTAACTCCAATTTCAGGAGCTGATAAAGTTAAAGGTTTTCCTTCGTTCCTCGACTGAGCGATATAACATTTTTACTCAATAAATCGTTTATTTCCGACAACTTTCGAGGGTAGCCTACCAAATTTAGGGAACGACCACAACCACCGATGAAATAGCTTAGTGAGGGGTTAGAGTTGGTAGCCTGTGGTTATGTTAGGGATGTCTAATACCAAAGTCCTTGCAGTCATATCACCGAACAGATAGTAAGGCAACAAACTTGTATTTTCTATGCGAAGGATGAATCGATGAATGTATTCACGAATATACTTCATTTTCCCGGGGTTTGATTAGAAAAACTCAAATGTCGTTATTTTTGTTATCTCTTCAGACTGTCGTACTATGGAAAGTATGTGATAATGTTGATGACGATGTTTCAAACACTTTTCCAGGTCTGGTTTAACTTTACCGTTTGAATTTTAGTCAAAATAGCTTTTCTCATTTTATTGAAGTTAGTCTCAGAGAAATGAACCAATGACCATGCAAACCACCAGCATGCGTCGCGGTTTTTTACGCAGCAAACGAAAAGAAACTCTCACTTTTTTACTCTTTGTAGGTCCTGCTTCTATTCTTCCTGTTTGTTGTAGCTTTCGGAACGACATTTTACTTACTCATGTATAACAAGGTGGGTACTTTTAACGTAGAAACATTACTTTCTTGACATTTTGAGTTTTAGGCTCAACGTGGCTCATATTCAGGAAAGTTCATTTTTTAATGCATTGTAAATTGCACTTGGACGACCTAAGTCGAAGAAGAGCTGGTCGGATAGCATATAGAATCGCGTGAATTTAACCTAGATGATTAAATACGATTTAAGTACAGGTAAGAGTTGTTCCTTTCTTCTCGTCATGGAAGGACGAGGAAAATTGGGGGCACAAGAGCTTTCTAAGTCCCGTCAAATTTTCCAATTACACCTACCTCCTCCCGGTTAGCTCAATGGATAGAGCGCTGGACTGTTGTGCGGAAGGTCGAGGGTTCGAGTCCCGGTCGGACCAACATTTAAGGTCTTAAATTAATTGAGAAGAATATGCTACCTTTCTATAACATCAAGAAATGGTTAGATATTCTAGTCTTCTCGGATAGGGACGACTAAATGGGGGTCCCGTCTCCTACAGGGTTAGGGGTAGGAGACGTTAATTTCCCACGCACGAGATTACTGTGTGATGGATGTCCTCCCCTGGGGTGGGATGGGCGGGTTAGGATTGATTGCAAAGCGCTGTTGATCTGTCATTGTAAAGAGCGCTCTATAAGTGATAAATTGTAATTGTTGTAATTGTACCTCGGTATACGTTTGGCGTAAAAATCAATCCTTCTACAATATCACTACAGCTTAGATGAATATTTGGGAAAATAAATTTAAATTAGATGAAACCAGTACGCGAGTTATGTTTTGGAAACAAAAGAGTGTAATTGTATCCATAACTACATTCTGTTGTTTCTAAAACATAACTCAACGTGGGTAGATGGATTTATGGATCACTGAGCTTAGTGTCTACAATAGAGAGGTTAGAATAGTTTAGCTGTAAACAGAGTTAACTTTTGTTTTATTTCGTTATGTTCAGACTAACTTTGAAACATTGGAATACGCCCTGATGAAAACCTTTACGATGACTCTGGGAGAGTTGAACTACGAAGCAGACTTCATTCCCGACATAAAACTGCACTATCCTCTGGCTTCAAACGTCATGTTCGTGTTTTTCTCCCTGGCGATGCCCATCATACTCATGAACATGCTGGTATGTTTCCATTGTTTCAGGAAGGGGTTGAAAGACAGTAAGATCATACAACCAGATTTTTTACGATAGGTAAACATACTGCGTGAGGTGGAAAGATTTGGTAGCCATGGCACCATTCATCTTAGTTTAGTAGTGCCTTCAGTTCTTAATGAGTGAGGAATAACAGTCCCTTTTAATAGAGCAAAATAAATTGAAAGTTTTTTCATCCCAAATGTGCAAGATATAGACCAGTACCTACAATACTATGAGGGCACTTTTACTTAACTTGGTAATTTAAATAATTCTAATTGTATAATTTGGATATATCAACAAAGTTGAAGTGGTAAATTGGCCACCGTAACGATTACAAAAGCTGACGTATTGAGCGTTAGCCCTTCGTCGGAGTGCTAACGCTCGAAACGTCGGCTTTTGTAATTGTTACGGTGCTGTTAAATTTACCACTTCAACTTTGTTGATATATCCAAATCATTTCGTTACTCCCACCGACGCAGCCCCTAACAGTTTCTTTCGAAACTATCAGCCTTTATCTAATTGTATAATGTTTCTTCTTTTAAATCAGATCGGTTTGGCTGTTGGGGATATTGACAAGATTCAGCAAAAGTCTGTTATGGCTCGTTATGTGATGCAGGTAAACCATACGACTAGCTCATGTTAAGTCCATATTTTGTAGCTGTTATATCCTCTTGCAAATGAAATTACGCCACAAACAGAACTAGGGATCATAAGAAGTATCTAGTAACGAAAGAAAACCTGCCAGTAGTTATAGCACCATTAATAATATCCATTCCAATTTTCTCAAATGTGGCTGCTGCGTCACCTGCTTTGTTTTTTTCCTAATTCATTCTGTAGAGCTGTAATCGGACAATGTGAATCGGACTGTTGGCCGTAATCGGACACTTGTACTCGGATTTTTAAAGCAGCCAATCATACTAAATCCACTCAGCTAGGTCCGCCACAGAATTGACCACCGTAGCGACAAACCTACAAAACTGGGGCAATGTTCATTGAACATGGAGGAATTTTTTTTACAATGTCTTTACGGGAGATATTTTCTAAATTAAATGTATTTGCCGTTTTTAAGAATTGTAATGGTTAGGATTAATTGGTAACAAGAATTCTTGTAGACCAGTTAGGTCTCTTATCATAATTGTGATTGACAAATCACTCCATGTATAATCACACACCGAAGTGGACTCCACTCAGTCCTACAACAATGATAAATAGTGTTGATGAAGATACGCCACTATGAATTCTTATCTACGCGTAGTTTGCACCTGTTAAAACTGTATTAGTATGAGCCTGAAATATTCTGCTATTTTCTTATTTTGTATTTGTCGTTTTTGAGAGAAAATACCAAATTGCAAGGAAGCGGAGATTTTTAAGTCAACCAAGGTCAACTGAATTGCACCCGGCGAACTAACAAATTTAGGCTAGATATTTCAACACACGTTCTTGGTGCGACGTAGCTTCAATGAAAACTTTGTATTTCCTGCTGTGAAAAATATGTGAAGCGTCAAATGAATGCATTTTACAGGTTGAATTGCTACTTGAGCTCGAGGAGTCTCTCCCACAATGGATTTTGAGACGAGTGCAGATTTATAAATATGAAGAGTTTCCAAACAGAAAATCCAAGCTACAAACCAGAGTAAGACAGCAATGTTAAGTCAGGGCTAGAGGCTGATCAATATGTGTGATTTAGCAGCTAACGTCGGACGTTCCGAGTCTAGTGTGGAAGACGATCAGTCTGACATGGGCCGTAGACGAGTTCAGTTTGAAAATCTCGAGTTCATTCTACAATTCAAAAATATGAGATGATTTTAACTTAAAAGTACCTGGGCTAGAAAAAAGCTTAAGATTGAGGAAATATGTGTTTATAGAAATCTTGAGGCTCTCGTCAGCCTAGGAGATAACATAATTTTTTAATCACGCTCGCCGGTTGTATACTAAAATCGGTGTTGCTCATTCTGAATTATATTGAAATTTCGGCCAATCAAAAACGATATTTTAGATTTTGAAAATGAAAGGTCACTTTTTAGGAACAAGTAGGATAAAGATACTTTGCTAAATTCATTTTTTCACTCACCCATTTACTTAATCGAGTTATTAATTCATTTTTCAAGCTTTACGAGAAGATCATTGGGTTTGGAAAAGCAGAAAGTAAAGGAGAGGACGATGGCGTCCCTCCAGCTATGGCACAAATTATTGACAGGATGATGGAGCAAGACGCAAAGTAAGGAATTTTCATTTAGGAGATAAAAAAACAGCAAACAACAACAGCAAAAACAAGTTTATTTGTTAAGGCAGGTTACTAAAATAGGCAAGACCATAAGTCCTGATGTGGACCTGCACACTAAATTAACATTATAATCACAATTGCACGATTTAAAATCTATGAATATAAAAATACAAGGATGCAAGGTATGTAAACATTAAAGCTGTTCCTATAAACCTATCTGAAAAGACAAATATAAAAGTTGTTATCACGTAAACTATGATGTATGCTTAAAAATAGTTAAAATCATCAATCCATCTTTATTTTTAATCATGGATGACTCTTTGGAATATGATATTTTATTAAAATGTCCTTATTTTTATTCAATTCTTTCAGAATAATTGGAATAGAGGGAGCTTTCTTAAAGCGATCTGGAAGAGAATTCCAAGCTATAGCTGCCCTATGCTTAAAACTGATAGTCTTCCCATTTCCGTTTTTGTTCTATGGATATATATATTTAAAATCTTTCTTAGATTGTATCTGTGTTCCTGCTTCGAAACCAAACTTCGAAGAGCTTATCCCCGCTTTCTCCAAACTATTGTTAATCACTGAGAGGAGAATGTAGCACTAGGAAGACCATCCTGTTTGTTGCCGGAGAAGATGAGCTTTTCCCTGTTCTGTCATATGGTTTTTTTGCGCTTTCGTGACTTTTCTGTCAAACAGTTTAATTCTAACTTTCCGCTCCCAATTTTAACTTTTGACCTTCAATTTTAACCTTATTCGCTGTTTGAGATTTATTGATGTGTTCCTAGCCGATGAGCATGCTGAACTTTTTGCATGTATATTAACTCACGAAACGCACCTCTTTTTTTTATCTAGATTGCGTCTTTTTCCCAATCAATAACATAGCAACACTAAAACAAAACAAGCAATCATATCATATTTCGAGGCTTGTTTAGTGTAACCAATCAAATTACAGGGAAATGAAAGACCGTGGTCATAATAAAGCGAATTCTGCATCTTTTGTCCCCTAACCTTTTCAAAAATTTTGTGATAAAATTTGGTTAAATTTTTAGATTTTGCGTTTTCAAATAAAAATGTAAGAGTGTTGTAATTGATCTGAATGGGGTCCACTTTTGGTTCGAAAAAATGCTTCTGATTTCAATTAAACTCGTTCGATCTTTGTTTGTTCGATTTTTAAAATCCCGCATATGATTTCAGACCATATTGCAATCCACCCAGTTCAATTGCTATCATTTATCGTTTGTCTCTCCTTTGGAAAAAAGACCCTTTTTGCTTGATATTTTCCCACAGTTCCACTTCAGTTCGTTGCAACAATTCATTTTACATTTCATCGATACCTTCTTTTCTACTTGTAAAACATAGGATAGAAGAAATACACGCCATGATGAAGGAACAATCCGAGATCCTTAAAGTCATCGGTCGCCGTGAAGGAGTGGCAGATGCTTCATCCAACAGAAAGAGTCTTATCGGATGGTTCTTGAAGAAACATTAGATTTGATGAAATGCATGACAATCATCTCCATGTTCTTTTTTCTAAAATATGGCTTAGGTTTACATCTGAAACGTTAAAAAGGTGACTTAAAAAAATTGTGGAAAATTTCTGGACGAAGACAGCAGGAATATTAACTATACGTTCTCTAGTGCTGTTAGGTGATGCAATGCAGTCATTGTCAATATAATCAATGGAGGTTAAACTGAACAAAGAAAAAAGAACTAGGTAGCGGTTGTACGTTTTTTTCTCCTTTTTTGTCTTTCTTGATCTTCATAAGGTAATAACAAAACATGCTAACATAGGTATAAACGACGGAGTTCACTGATACAGATAGTCAGCTTTATCTAAAAAAAAGATCCCGCACAGTACCGTGAAGGTAAAACCATTACCGCACTGTTTAATTAAAAATTGTAATGATTAATGAGAAGTTCAAGCTGATTTGCTTTTTGGTGTAGAGCGTTGTAAAATTAAATTGCTACTGGAATCTCTTAATATATCACTACCATAAATACAAGCGTTTGTGACACGTTTCTGTATCACGTTATCGAAGACGCTGATTTTTGAGAAGAGGGGCGCGTATATGAGATGGTGAGTAATTCATGGCGCGTATAAATGAAAATTAGCTCCAAGTCATTCACGATCGTGATTCTTCCTGTCCTCAGCCAATTTTTTGTATAATTTTTTGTCATGATGCGCTACACCAGCAGAAATTAAAGTCTTTGCAAGGCTGCAGATCATTGACGATCATTGACGAGCTCATTAGATCAACGCCGTCGTGGTTTTCTTACAGTCCTTACTTTATCCATCCATGCCACTGCCAGTGTCTCAGTCACTTAAATTCACGATGTCACTGTCACTTTCGCCGTCATTGTCAGTGTCACTCTCAACGTCCTTTTCTCTATCACTGTCTCAGTCTCTGTTTCTGTGTTTGTCTGTGTCTCTGTCACTGTCACTTCATCGTCACTGTCGCTATCAGTATCACTGTCACTGTCACTACCAAGGTGACTGTCAAGGTCATTGTCACTCTCTGTCACAATCATTGTCATTGTCTGTCACTATAACTACTACCGTCAATGTCATGTGCATAAAAAATTTTGAGATTTCCAACAACTTCTTATATAACGGGCTTGTTTCATCCTATCTTTGGCCCTGCCCTCGGATAAAAACCATTGATATGTATGAATTTTTTCAGAACCTCTGTTAACTTGAAAATTCTTCCATAATCAATAAAGCCATCGCCATTTTTTGTCACCGTCACTCTTACTGTCTCTAGGAAGACATAGCCTTGAACAACTTTGACAATCTCCTTAGCGGCTTTCCTGATCTCACCCGCTGTTCAAATTCCCTTTACGTGACTTCTGGCAGGAAAGTTTTCAACCCTTTTACGCAAATGTTCCTTGTGAGCTCACAATCATCATCGCACAGGTCAGGTTTACGCGTAGGTTTGCTCGGTTATTCACATTCTTTCTCTTTCAGGAGGACTCTTTCGAGCCACCACTACCGCTACTATTACTACTGCTTAACTCTGTATCTGAAGAAACTTATGTAATGTATCCTCAGCAACTCTATCTCCTTTGTTCAGAGGTGGATGAAGGAGTGAGTGATGTTATCTGTTACAAACACTGAAGAGACGGTATCGTCCCTTTACAACGCCTTCGAATATGTCTCTCTCCTAAGCAATTCATGCACAGTTTCTTGCTTAGTACAAACTCTTTCTGTACCCCATATGGCCTGTCTCTGAACTTGAAGCATTTCTGTAGTTGATGAGAACCATTGCAGAAGAGGCGAGCAATTGGAGACTTAGGTTTCTTTGACACTTGTATCACTAAACCAGGTGTTGATCTCAGAATAGGAAGTACATTTGGTCTTTGACATCCTTACAGCTTGAGGATAAACGTAAAGACAGACCGGTCACGCAGCATTATCGCCTTCATCTTGTTTTATTCTTCTCACAAGCGTTCTCACAAGGGATTTTTCCTTTTTGTGAATGATAATCGGAGGTTTTATGAAAATTGGTATCAGCAAGGGCTGATTGTGCATCAGACTCTAAGGTTTCATCAATATTTGTTTCTTTTACTGACAAAAGGTAAATAAACGTTCGCGACCTTTTGGCTTTTGTGTATGTGTAAGAGCCGATTTTCTAGAGGCAGAGTTGATCTCAGACAGAGACCTTTCTATGATGTTTTCTGGGTACCATCTTGCTTTGAAGCGTTGTTTGAATCTAGACGCTCCCTTCAAATGTTTCTTTCGAAGGGTTAGTACTAAGAAATATTATTGCTTCGCCTTTAATGAAACCATATTTTTATCCTGGTGGGTGGCACGAAGCGAAGTGCGTAAATAGGAAGGTCTCTGTCGGCTTGTAGTAGGTTCTGATGTCAAAGATGGAATCTTTAGCGAATCCTTCCCCTTTAAATACTGTGGTATCGAGGAGAGATTAGGTTCTCTGATATTTCGGCCGTGGATTTGATGGAAAGGTGAAAATTGTAAGCTTGTTTTATACATCGATCTACCTCTGTCGCAGTCCCATAGGAAGAAAACGTCATCATCGTAAGGTTTTTATTCTCTTGTTGGCTTGGTTAAACATACCTTGAGAAGAAGAAACAAATATAGTATATGAAGCACACACATTGTCATCGTCAATCTCACTCTCTCTGTTAATGTCATTGCCACTACCACTGTCAGTGTTACTGTCACTTTTACTATCTCTGTCACTATCACTATCACAGTCAGTCTCTCTCTCTTTCATTCTTACAATCAATCAGTGTCAGAGCCACTGTCACTATCCCCGACAGTGTCTCTTTCACCTTAATTGATAGTGTCCCTGTCACTTTCATTGTCCTTGTCAAAGCCTCTGCCTTTCACTGTCACTATCACTTTCTTTGTTCCCGTCCCTACTTCTGTCACTGTCAGAGTCACTGTAATTTCAATGCCACTGTTACTGTTTGTCACTGTTTTCTTATCAGTAAAGAGCTAGTTCTAGCGTTAAGTGTAAGCGCATGCGTAGAATCAACCCTAGAGGGCATGGTTCAAAGCAAGGGCTGCCTTCGTGAATAATTCCTTGCTTGATGTACGCGAAAGGAATTCGATGGCTATTACGCTCAATTTACATACAAAGTCACACAGCGTTCGCGGTAGACCCACACTAAAACTTGTGGAGCGTTTTGGGAACGGGTCGGTCCGCGAACTTTACGAGAGATTAATTTACGAGCGAACCTTTACGAGTGAACCTTCTATCGAGAAATAGCAAGCGAAAGCTGCTATATTAAACGAACTATCTCATATTATGTTTACATGTAAACACAACCGTGTATTTTGACGTGATCGACAACGCAGTAGAATATCAGAAGCTACTCTGAAACGTCTCAGAAGAAAGAGCAGAAAACTGAAGGAATTTGTTTATGAGCGTATTCGTCCAAGCATACCGAAGTCCTCTACGTTATGGGAAGGTTAGAAGAGTCACAAAGAATGTTTGTAAGCTTAATACGAAGAGGGTGAGATTAAATAAAGCTACACAACATGAGAAGAAGTATTTGTTGAATTGTTCTGTGAGGGTAGATCAAAAGATAATTAAATTGACGTATAGAGCAAGTCGGTATTTATCAATGTTTTCTTGTAATAGACTCGTATGTCTTTTTAAGTGTCAGACACACGTATCAAACTATTGTAAATTTCAACTGAGTTCAGATATAGAGAAAAACCCTGGTCTTACTCCAATGTACATTGACCCAAGCAAAACAATAACGGCACCATATAGCCAAGCTAATGAGTTGGTATTTGGACAAAATTCAGGACAACAATGTGGCAATGAGTTTATACTCTTTGATTTACAATAACAAACAAGGAATCAATTCTATTCTGCTAATGATCTCGTGTCAATAATGCATATTGGAAATCATTTGTATTCAAGTTTGTCTCAGTTAACCAGACAATCATTTTTAATGCAGACAGAATTACCCAGACTTTTAAATGTGTTTGAGACTGACTATGAACTTCAATAAAGTGAAAGCTACTCTAGTCTGGTACTAGTGTACTTCGCTGTTTGGTACTGGTGTCTAGTACTGTCTGGTACTAGTGTACTTCGCTGTTTGCTACCGGTGTCTAGTACTGTCTGGTACTTGTGTACTTCGCTGTTTCGGCTACAAGACTGTGGAGTAGTATACCTATTGAAATTAGGAAACTAGATTCTATAGCATGTTTTAAAAAGAACATTGCTAAGATTTTTAAGGAACAACATATGTTTGCATCATTTTACTATTTAATAATATCTTCTTAATTGAATCTTGTCTTATTTTAAATGCTTATTTTAAATGCTTATTTTAAATGTTTACATATTTTAGCTTATATATTTATCTGATTGTATATTGTTGTGTAATCTGTGAGGGCCACAAGTTTATTAGCCTCTGGCTATTAATTGCTACCCTCTTTAAATAAAGGCTTTCATTCATTCATTCGTTCACTATTCATCAAGAACCTACAATAGAAGGATAGTAGTACTGTGCCTCCTTAGATAGAGCCTTTCAATCACTTATATCCAAACATTTCAACAATTTGTCTTGACATTAGGATGTACTGCAGTTGCTATCTAGTGTAAAGGTAATGTGGGCTTGAAAATATTTGATTCTCATGCAAGGGATATTTATGGTAGAAACCATCCTGTGTGCTTGTTGAAGTATCATCACTGAATAGCTTAGTACATTATTACAGTGATATATTTGAGTCAAAAGGGGTTAAAATTAACAAAGTTCAAAAGAGTACCCTTTTCAGAGTCATGCCTGTGGAACTAGAAAGTTCAATGTGAGTTGTGCTGTGGCTGTCTATTCACTCTGCAACTCCGTAATAAAATCATGTCTATTCACTCTGCAACTCCGTAATAAAATCATGTAGTTATTGGAATTCAAACACCTTATCTAATGTAGTATGGCAATATGGCATCTAATATCAGTATGGCAGAAGATTATATGAAAAATCATCTTTAAACAAGTATTTACTGTTGGATGATTTGCCGAAAACTGTTGATGTTTGTGGAACTGAAGTAATTTATAAGTTTAGATCCTAAAAGTGGTTACAGTGAAGGAATATTGTCTGATTCAGTTGACAGCAAATCAGTTCTTGAAAAAGTTTTTTGTATGACAAGTATTTTTAAACCCACTGAAAGGTCAAAATATGTGTATTCCCTCTTGGTATTTAATGAAAGTCAAAATTAATGCCTCTCATTGAATATAATAAAACTATAAATAGCACTGCTTCTCTAGTTGAGGCCATCAGCAATATTCAATATTCAGAGATTTTTCTATTTGAAACAATATGAGCTATTGAACAGTAATATAATTGCTTCAATCTACTGATTTCTGACAGCTCCCCTTGGGTGAACATTTGGCAACAAACTATGACTCGGTACCAATAGTGGATAAAAAATTCCCCTCTCCTTGCAGTCAAAGGCAAACTCAGGGTTCGTAAAAGCCTTGAAAGTCCTTGAAGATGCTTGAATTTAAAAGTAATACATTCAAGGCCTCGAAAGTACTCAAATTTGAGGACTTGGGCTTGATTTTTGCAGTGCTTTTTCTTTAGCAATTTTCAACTTGAAAATAATTTTCAAATCGCACTATCAAGTGAAAAACCTTAAGAAATGGATTAAATGTAGCTAAAAATAACCGCCGATTTTGTAGATTTCACCGTCGGTTAACTATCGAAACAATTTTGCATATGCAACTTTCTTTCGCTCATGTTTCATCTAGCGTTCGATTTCGTAAAGTAATTTGTAATTATAGCTTTTATAAAGCCATTTTAGTTTCCTTTCAATCGATGGAAATAAAAAATGAGAAACCCAATGGCCACCGATTCGGTAAATAGTTTTGCCGTACACGTCTATCGAAATAAATTTGCATAAGCATGAAAACAAATCTCGCTCTTCTCGTGTTACTTAACGAATATCATTCTGTTTTCGTAAGGTAATGCGAGCTCTCGTGTCTCAATATCTGAGTGAGAATTCTTCTAATCGAAGACCTTCTCATACCAGAGATTTGCAAACAGTAAGTTGTAGCGAAGACCAACATAGCCGCTCGATCGAAGCGTGATTGATTTTCAACGGGTGCTTCTTGGGACTGTTTTATACCGTTGCTCTTCAAAAACGTTGAACGGATGCAAGTAACCGTTAAACGGATGGATTTTTTTTTAAACGGATAGGTTAACCGTTTAAGTGAGTCGTCGAAAACGTTAAACGGATGAGCAAAGCGTTTAAACGGATGAAGAAAGCATTTAAACGCTTTGATGATCCGTTTTAAACGGATAATAAACGGATAGTAAACGGATTATTTCGTTAAACGGTAAAGCGTTAGTGTACGAAATCCTGTGCCCGGTCACAATTACAGTACTTTCATGGAAAAGCTGAGAAATTATCTTAAGTAATTTTAAATTGCTTAGGCAAACCTTTCCAAAAGTGGTCCTTCAAGTTTTCTAAAACTTAGCCTTCAAAGTCATTGAAAAATCCTTGAATTTCAACCTCTGGCATCTGTAGGAACCTACTCCTATATGGTAATATATTATTTTGATTGTTGTCTAGTACCATAACAACGTTCATTACACTCCAGCAGACAAAATAAACACAAGTAGACTTATTCATGACCGGCAATGACGAAATTGCGTAACGACAGTTACAATGGCAGTCCCCTAAAGAAAACTCCAGATGTGCGATATTGAAAGCCCGAGTTCACGTAGCTGTATGCGTCTAGTTTATTTTAAGGCTCAGCGTGGTCCTTCCATGTGCTTCACAGCAACTTGCTATCAATAGGTGTCCTGAGCACAGTTACATAAACGTCATATAAAGTTGCATAAAGCTAATATTCTATAACATGAAATTAATGTTAACGCATGCATAATATTAAAATGTTTATGCCAAAAGTTAATGTATATACAATATATCATCATCTGGAAAAATGATTAAAAACTAAACAACTGGGGTAGTAAAAAAGACGTCTTTGCGATTTAATGGCTTCAGTTTTTGAGACATTAATAAACAGACTGTTACGAAAAAAGCCAACGTTCAATTTTTTACAGTTCTTCATTGGGCTTCGTTTATGCGGTTCTTTATTGAGCTTCACTTTATACAGTTCCTCTTCGAGCTTCTTCAACCTAATCTTAACCCTTACCTATCACACCAGAAGACCATAGAATAAGATCTAATTTTCCAGCTTTAGTTTTGTACTAGATTTTGAAATATCAAGTCAGTCAAGTTGTAACTCGCTTTTTTTTTTTTTACAACAGCTTGTATTGCCAGAATAAAAACGAACAGGAGATGAGAATTTTTGCTCAGTGACTCCTTTGTTCGTGCTTAGTCCTCAACGCAGTGGTATGAACAGAGAGTTTTAGCTGTTTTATGGACCGGTATTTATCCACTGGAGATCTAGAGTCGAGCTTGTGTATCAACATGTTCGACTGTTTTCAGTCTCATCTTTTCGCAATGCCCTCTTAGTGCATTGGTAATCATATAAAATATGAAAATTGTAGTTTTTGGAAATCTTGACAATCGTAATTCTGCAATCTTGACAATTTTCTACACAAACTAGCAACTTTCAATGAAGTAGAATCGCGGAAAACTGAAAGAAAAGGAAAAAAAACCGGGAGAAATAGGTTATAAAGAATATCTAATGCACGTTTGGATGGACTGAAGTAATGAATACCACAATGTTCTGTTTCGATAATTGCCATTTAAGTCTCACAAAAAATATTTCGCATTAGTATGCTCCTGATAGATTGTCGAATATCCTTCATTCTCCAGAGATAAATGATAGGATTCAGCCATGAGTTAATGAACATTAGTGTTTGAGACCATCTTTGCCAAGTTGGACGGTCATTAGACATTGCCATGATAAGAAGACTAGCATGATATGGCAGATAACAAACTAAAAACACAAGATATACATAAAATGTGCTGACTGCGGATTTGTTTAGCCTCGTGGCTTTTGCTAATTCACCATTCTGTGCTGCTTGTTGTACCTGTAAAGCTTTAATGTGGTTTGCATGGCGTCTTACTGCAAAATAAAGTCTGAAGCTTATAACTGTTATGACAATGAAGCAAAGACTCCAAACGATGATTTGGATGTTTTTATGTTTATTTGTAATTTTCGCGATCAGAAAGCAAAAGAATGTAATAAGAGCACTGACCACCCATGCTAAAATTGCCACACCAAGAACGCGCTTGTTAGTCACAAGTTCCTGATATCTGAGATGAAGATGAACCGCCAGGAATCTGTCCAGATTCAGAGCCATAACACCGAGGAATGAAGCGTTAACGAATGCAGCTTGGACGAACCAGAATACTGTGTCTACCGTTTCCTTCCAAATATTCAAGTTTACAATGAATATTGGCTGAACAACTAAACCAACAGCGACATCAGAAATAGCAAGACTCAGCAGCAATGTTTTCAAAGGTTTTGATAAAGAAGAATTTTTCCTTATGGCTTGGATTGTCAAACTGTTGAAAGCGATCGTCGTAAATGCTGAAAGGGCGTTCACAAAGGCAATAATAATGTACTCTGAAGTGGATGGGACTTCTACATTAGCCATTCTGCATTGGACAATAATCTTCGAGACCAAACCGTTTAAGTACAAATTATTGTGCGGAAAACTGCCTCCCCGCCGATTCCAGACTAAAATAAATTGATCTTAGAATACAACCAGATGGTTAAAACGCATTCTCAATTCGATTGTCGTTTAATTGACAACGAAGCTATCATCTATTTTCTCTAAATATCACACAATCGCGCGACTGCTTTGTACTCTTGCGTATTTTAGGTACTATTTCCTCCCAAATCAAAATTAAGGACATGATATTGAATGCGTTTTGCCAGTAAACTGAAATTCTAGGTAAATTTCAATTCCAAATTGTCTTGTTAAAGCTGAAAGCTTGTCAGTTTGAATATGCGTGTGCGTGGTTAGAGCCAACGCCGAGTCAGATGTCTAAGCTACTTTGAGAGGAGACAGAATGAATTAAAGACTGACAGCGTGACATGTGAAGTAGTTCCTAAAATGAATAATATATAGAACTCAATGTGTTTCCATCAACTCAGTCATTTATTGTGATATCATCCCCCGTTTCGGTCGCAAGTCTTAATTTCCATTTTAGATTGGCGACGACACTGAAACAAAATAAAATTGAAATATACAAAAATAGCAAGCTAAGCCTGAGGAATTTTTTTCAATCGTCAAAACATGAAAGACGCTGTCCATGAGGAAAATCGAAATTAGACAGGCTAGTCACACCTTCCAACTTTAATAACCAAACTATTTGAATAAAAGCCATTCAAAATTAATTCGTAAAAGAAGGCCGCTTTGCTGTCAAGATAAAAATAGAGCAATGAAAGAAAAACCCTTAGGCGTGAGCGGGCAGTATTTTAAGAATGTAAATATTGTAAATAGAAAATGTAAATAGTTTAGTCGGCTAGTATTAGTATCACACTGTAGTCTTATTTTGGTTATCGTTATTTTATTCTGTCTGTGTTATATTACAAATGATCACCTGTAAAAATATTGTGTCTAAATACAAGACATTATCATCGCAGTATACACTTCTGAATGCTTCAGATTACCAATAAAATTGATATTGGGTGCCATGGTGTAGCCTATTTGATTGTCACTACTACATAGATAAAAGCTAAACTTTTTAAAATTTTATANGGGAAAAGTAAAGTTAAGATCCCCATCGCGATGCAAGACGATGCGGCTGCGAATCGCCCTTTATCAGTGTGATTCTTCGGCAATTATCTCGCAGAAATAGCCATGGGATTATTTAAGAAAGTCCAAGAAGTGCTTTGTTTGTGTCTAATGGAAGAGATCATAGACGAAGAAGAGTTTGTTCTGCTTTACGAAGCATACAGGCCGAGTAATCTTCCTTTTCCTCACTCGGCGTATGAAAAGTTTTCCCTCGTGAATAAAGACCCAGCCGAATGTAAAGCCGATTTCCGAGTGGAAAAGATGGATATTCCTTTGCTTCTTGACGCATGACGAGTACCTCCTGTGTTCCAATGCCGCAGTGGAACAATTTTCGATGCAGTCCAAGGCCGGTGTATAAAGCTGAAGAGGTTTGCTTACCCGTGCCGGTATTCCGACATGATTCCTATTTTTGGACGATCCGTGCCAGAACTTAGCATGATTAGCAATGAGGTTGTAGACTGGATGTACACAACTCATGGTCACAAAATAACACAGTGGAATCGCGACCTTTTAAGTCCAGCTGTACTGAGGGGAACATCACAAGATAACTAAATGGAAGCATTCTGCGAGTCTTACTTCAACCTTCTGAACATGAAAAAAGCAGTAGAAATTAAGGAAAGTCAAAATAAATCAAATGTTGCTGATGTTGTGCAGTATATGGATAAGGACATTGAACTGGAATTCTATTTTGGCTGGCTTACTGATGAACTGAAACAGAGTCAGGAAAAAACAGAACAGACTATAAGATAATGTGGTTTACTTTATGCTACCATTAATGTTTTACTTTAATGTTTATCGGAAATGATTCAAAACATGTGCTTGTTGAAATTTTGCATTCCTGCACTCCTGAAGCCAATACGCATAACATTTTGGAGTCCTTTCAGTCTGACAATGGTACCATCCGGCTACTAATAGCAACAATAGCCTTTGGAATGGGCGTTGACTGCTGAGGTCTTCATAGAGTCATACATTTTGGACCCTCCAAGATGTGGAGTCCTATGCTCAGGAAGGGAAGGGATGGCCAACAAAGTGGCCTATGATCAGGAAGGAAGGGATGGCCACCAAAGTGTTGCATATGTTTTTTACCATGGAGTTATGTTAAACCATATTGATGCCCATATGAAGTCTTTCATTGTGGACAATATGTCATTGTCACACCTAGAAAGCTCAGCATTGGAAGAGGAAAATGCCAATGATTCATGCGATGATGATGTAATGCCACCAGTAATATTTGGCAACTGTTGAGAATATGGCATTGGATCACTGATTACTAATAAGTGACATTAACGTGTTTGACTTAACTGTATCATGTACT